CGTCAATTTGTGGGTATATGCGGCACTTATTTATACCGAGAAGACCCGGAAAGACCCGAGAAGACCCGAAAAGACCCGAAAAGACCCGAAAAGACCCCCGAAAAGACCCGAAAAGACAGCCGAAAAGACCCAAAAGAGACAGCCGAAAAGACCTGAAAAGACACCCGAAAAGACCCGAAAAGACCCGAAAAGACCCGAAAAGACAGCCGATGACTGGTACATGGTCACTATCACAGTCTGCTCCCGGCAGTGATTTAGACGATTTTATTGTATTTCTAAAACGTTTCTGAATAAGTATGAAGTCTATTTGATTTTTACTTCTATCGCCAGGACTCTTCCAAGGGTATCGTCTTCTTGGGTGATTTTCACACCAGGTGTTTGATATCATAAACTTATTTTCCCTGCACCATTCTACCAGTCGTTCCCCGCGTTCATTCTCTTTACCCAGTCCCCATGGCCCTACTATATCTTCTATACGTGTACTTCCTACTTTGGCATTAAAGTATCCCATAACTACCTTTACATCTTGTGATTTTAACTGCTTCATTGCCTTATCAAGGTCTTCTTAAAAAGTCTCAATTTCCTCGTTGTCGTGCTCTAATATTGGTGCCTACATTTGGATGACACCTATGTCAAAAGGTGTTCCCTCTAATTTAGCCACAATGACTCTATCTGACACTCCCCAAAAACCTTTGCAGCTCTTTGCTGTTGCTTCCTCAAATAAGATTCCGACTCCTCTTTCATGGGTTTTTCCTCCTGAATATATAATTGTTTTGGATCCTCTTTTAATCAAACCTGCCCCCTCCCATCTAACTTCTGAAAGGCCTAACATACTTAACTTCATCCTATCCATTTCCTGCTCTATATATGATCTAATTTGCATTTTTGGTACATTGTTCTCACATTCCATGTGGCTATGTTAAGTTGCTTATTTTTGCAGCCAGTAGCAATAAATAAACCACAAATAAATAAACAATAAATAAATAAACCATGTACATGTATGCCTTTTCGGGTCATTTAGTGTCTTTTCGTGTCTTCTTGGGTCTTTTCAGCTGTCTTTTTGGGTCTTTTAGGGTCTTTTTGGGTCTTCTCGGGTTTTCTCGGGACTTTTCGAGTCTTTTCGGCTGTCTTTTCGGTCGGGTCTTTTGGGGTCTTCTCGGGTTTTTTCGGGTCTTTTAGGTCTTTTGCGGTCTTTTGGGGTCTTTCGGGGTCTTTTCGGGTCTTTTGGCTATCTTTTCGGGTCTCATTGGGTCTTTTCGGGTCTTTTCGGCTGTCTTTTCGGGTCTTTTCGGGTCTTTTCGGGTCTTCTTGGTATAAATAAGTGCCCAGTGTATGGGGTTATTGGTGGTGTCATCTTAAAGCTTGTTTACTTGTCTTACTTTTGAAGAGGAAATACCCAATACTCTTGCACAGAAATAGAGATATTTGCGATTAAAGATGGGAGTTGACGGGTGTCAAAGAAAGACAAAAAAATAACGAGAAATCGGTCACCCAAGTTTGTTAACTTCCAAAGCTTGAGAGTCCTTGGAAACTGTAAATTCATATATTCTTTTGCTTTAATGAATGTTTTTTTTTAGCAAAATATCCACACAAATATATGTTTTGAAATCGATATAAAAATGTGTTGAACCAAACAAATCGATGACAATAATTGCTCAACGAGTGGGAAAATGTCAGTTTCTCCGATTTCACTATTTTGACAAGCACCTTATTTTACCACGATGCCACGTACATTACACCAACATTACTAACTCTCAACTCAAAGCGAAACAATGTAAAGCAAATTAAAGTAACTAAGGCCCAACTCAATACAAAACAAAAACATCAACATAAAGCTAATACTTAACTCAAAACTACACACACACACACACACACACACACACACACACACACACA